TTTAGCTGCAAGTTCTAGAACATATTTTCGATGCACGTTACTGTTCTCATGTCGCTCATTAAATATTTCTGCTGTTCTATTAGCGCACTGATTATTTCTGAAAAATATTTCGATAATTTCAACTCTTTCTGCTGTGTAATATACCATGGTTAATTTATGTAATAAAGCGTTACAAGTTATTTTAGCAACAAAGTTTTGTCAAATCATTCGCAAACTATGTACTAAATTCCTATTTAAAATAAGTACGAGATATTTCCTTATCTTTCTTCAAGAAATAACTTTTTTGCCACAAAAAAAACGTTCCAATAGCTATTTTCAACAACAAAATGCTAAACAAACTATGGGCGTAGTGAAGAAAAGCATTTACTTATTAAGTAAATTCTTTTAGTCAAATTTCTTCTGAAAGTAGTACAAACTAATCTGATGTACCTATTAAAGTCTACTTTAAGCTTTGAATCAATAAATCTTCAAAACTACTGAACTGAAGCTCATGTATTTTACATCATAATAAAGGGAATTGAAAGACCTTTAAAATAAGTATCACTCGACCCCCCTTTCAACTTAAGATTTTAGGGTTGGTGTCACCCCCGCCCAGGGGGCTGCAGGTGTTAACGTGATTTTTTGCCAAACTTGTGTCCCCCTCGAAAACAAAATCGACGGGTCTGAGCGTTTTTCCAGAAAAAAAAACTGAGCTGAAAGTAAATGCGTCTGTTTCGTTTTCGATGCGCCACCCTGTATAATAACCTGCCTTGTAAAGCAACCTGAGTACTAAAATGATTTTAAATTCATAAATTAAAACAAAATAATTAATGATAGAAAATTCCTCGGACATGTTAGTCAACTTCTGTCTACATCGCTCTTTCCCGCTTAACCTAAACTCGACTGTATCGGTTTTTGCTTGCTAACCATTTAAATGCAAATTGTGAATTTAATTTGTCGGGCGAGAAGCTTCTCTGTTTTCACAATAATTAATAAGATGGGAGAGTTTTCTTGCTTGATAATACTCGCCTGCGATACTAGGGGAACGATAACTTGTTTGAGAAGTTGGAAGTTGACACTCAGAAACGGAATCTTATTATTCGTTCAGACAGACATTTTGCACTGGGGATCAACAGAATACTTTGCTGGATCTGTCCCGCTCCGGAATCGCATGAACTTATACGTAAAAGTGGCATCGAGTAGGTTGACTTGACCCGGTCAGACGTGGCAATACGGTCAGAGCATAGGAATGACTATGCTGTGGCGCGGTAGAAATACCATAGCAGAACAACGGAACAAATAACTAAGGCCACCGGCAGCAGCAGCAAGTGGAAGCATTGTTTTGCGTCAGAATGATTAGAAGTCTGGAAAGTCCATCTAGCGGGCTCAGAATATATTCGGTTCAAATACCTTGAGCCCTGTTTTTCGCGTGAAATGATTAAAATTGCAGGTCTGTTGTCATATTTCGACCAAGCAAAGCGCACAACTAATCCGTAGATGAACTTGTAGATTGTTATTTATAGTTACTTGCCAATCGTAAGTAAACAAAGTGCTGTAGTGTGGAAATTTATTACGTCCTGTGTCCCTGCTAGACCGTCAACCATGGGCGTCGACAGAAAATTTTTCCTATGTTCACTACCAGGGTTGTCTCAAACATAAGGTTCCCACATTTTTTTCAGGCTGAAGAAATTTTTTATTTGAAAAAACGAATTTATCATTGTAGACCTATTTTTCAGCATAGTCGCAATTTTTTTCTACGCATTGTTTGGAGGTAATGAAAATTGTAGGTTGGAAGCTGTATGCAGTAAATGGTTGTAAATTGCATATTTGGTGTCAGTGAAAGACCTTTTATTATTAAGAAGCTGCTGATCGCAGTGATACTATGCACCTACTAGACAACACATATTTTCCCTACATCTGGCATGGAAACAGAAATATGATAGATTTGTTTTATATAGCTTGATGATGTCGAGGATTCATCGTACCTAATCACGATTCTATTTCGCATTTTGAAACGATTTGACTGATAGATTCAGTTTGGTTGACGCCATTTTTTTGAGAACTTGTTGCGCTTTAAAAAATGTAAGATTACCTGCGCCTATGACGTAAGGCGCGTGAAGGCAAAAGCAAAGACGGTGGCGTTGCCAGAGATGCCCACTTTCACATAGGATCCAGAGGAATGAAGTGTTCGAGGCGATGCTTCGTAATGAAAAGCGCTGTGTCGCATACTAAGCAGTTTTCTGGGGTGATTGGCAAAAGCCGGCTTCCGCAGATAGGGTGTATACTATACTCGACGGAATTCCGCATCATTATGGTGCATACCTGTACTATGTATTATGCAATTAATCAAACCCGATTGCTAGAATTATAAAATCTCTCTTTCAAATTGCTATAACCAATAGCAGCACGGTGGCGTAGTGGTAGACGCTACGTGTTTACTAATGAGCTGAGCTGCACGGGTTCGAATCCCGTCCCAAGAGGATTTTTCTCTTGGCTGTGGTTGTTGTGATTGTCCGTCGGTGCCGAACGTACAGGTACCACCTGTCGGATTTCTAAAGCGGGCCAGAATGTCGCATGCATTACGTGCTACAAAGCGCCATATAAAACTCAACGTTTGCCATCCATCTCTGGAGAATTTTGTCACCGAGTGACGCCACGCCTGCGAAAGAGATTTATTTATTTATTGGTCATATTATATAAATGATACGAGTATGTATCACAAGTCATTTACATCATTTACAATTAAAAACGAGGGCACATGAGGCGTGAATCACAAATGAAACTACAAATTGTAATTTAAACATTCCTCAACAGGGTAGAAACATTGATCGGGAAGGATGCACTTCTTTCGTTTTTTGAATTGCATATAATTCAGCTCGCGGATGGTCTGAGATAATTTGTTGTAAAAATTCAGATTTAATGAATTTCTCGCAGATATATCTAGTCTATAATGTGGCAGCCTGTCTTGTATCATAGTTGTGTATTTCTGATAGGATTGTTATAGTCAATCATATTAGACGAAAATACACCCGGTTTGCGAAATAATTGTAAAGTCTGGTTTTATTGGTGCAAGTTGTTCAAAGGGGTATTTGAAACATGGACGCATAAAATGGGTACACCAATTTTTGTGGAAAACTTTTTATTCGACAACAAAGAACGAGAAAACGTGTTTTTTGGGATTCAATCGAAGTGTGATCTCATTTTGTAGGACGCATAAATACCTAAAAACCTTATTCAAAAAGTTTTTTCGTTTCTGTCAACACTTTCGATTGAATCTCAAAAAACACGTTTTCTCATTCTGTGTTGACGAATAAAAAGTTTTCCCACAAAAATTGGTGTATCCATTTCATGCGTCCATGTTTTAAATACCCCCTTGAACAACTTGCACCTATAAAACCAGACTTTACGTTTATTTCGGGGAAATTTGCTAATATGATTAGACTATGTGTAGCAATTCGAGTTTTCATGCTGCAAAGTGTAAATTAGATACATGGCAACGGCATCATCCCTAAAATTTGGATGACAGGTTTGCAGTGCTATAACCCTCACTGCGGGTTATTGCATTTTGAATGCACGCACAACGTGACATGATCCTCCCCAAATGATGACGCCATACATTAGATGCCAGTGAGATATGCCAAAATATGTACTTAAAAGGCCTTCTTTCGTAGAGATACGTTGTAATTATCATAATACGAATAAGCGTGTTGAAAGTTTTTTGAATAAAGAGTCTACATGAGCATTTGGGAGTACCATCAATTTGTATGCCAAGAAGAGAAACCGTTTCGTTCTCATTCAACCGATTGTTTACTGACAGAATGGTCTTTTGTTTTGTGTTTATTGAGTTTTAAACAGTTGGCCGCAAACCATCTTTCTAGTTTGAATTCCGCGTTTATAGTGTTCGTCGACATGCAATTGAATCAAGGTAGTGTCGTTTGCAAAATGCCAATTTATTGGTGATAAATATTGGAAGATGTCATGTAAAGACACTCCAAAGACACTTGAATTGTTGAATTTATTATAGCTAAAATTCGCACTTTAAGTATTGTTGTTCTCGAGGCCAGTGTTTTAAACCCAGACTTTGTTTCCTATAAAATTTGTAAAAATTGAATATTGAATAAAGATTTGTTTCAAAAAAAATTTTTTGCAGGGTAAATTGTTCGATTTGAGGAGCCAGAAAGTTTTGCACCATATCACGGTAGCGCTGGCCAATGACGGTAAGGGAATTTACCTGCAGCGTCTTCAAAGAAGTAAGGTCCAATGACACCGCACCAAACTGTGTCTCGACGAGGATGTAGTGGTCGTTGATGGATGACACGAGGGTTCTCTAATGCCCAAATACGACAATTCTGCTTATTAACGAATCCGTTCATATCGAAGTGGGCTTCATCGCTCATTATCAGTTGTCGGTAAAAATCGTTATTTTGCATGACTGTGTTGTCGGCGACTTCCATGGTCACTAAGTAGGCTGTAGTTATTGGGTTAACTGGATGTTGTATGGCCGCAAATGCAAAATAGTGCATAATGACGTGCGACGAATACCCACTTCTTGAGAACGATGTCTGGTAGACGTCTCAGGGCGCTCCACTGTACTTTCACGAACTCTCTTGATATTTTCCGGGGTGCGAACAGTTCGAACACGACCCGACCTTGGCAAGTCTTCAACTTCACCTGTTTGTTCAAATTTCCGCACCAACTGATGAATGGTGTTGTAACAATCGACTCATTATTTAAGTGGAACGTTTTAACAATACGGACGTGTTATGTGCTTTAAATAACTGCTACGGTGCCACCTACTGAAATGCGTGTATCAAAAATGGGTCGCAATTTATATATTACAAAAAGTAACGGCTCTGAAATAGAGCCTTGCGGTACACCACATTCTGTTGATCTACAGTTGGATTCTTCACCATCCAGAGACACTATTTGACAACGATTTGCCAGATATTAACATTCCAACTTTTCTAGCAATATTCTTTTAGTCCAAAACATTTTTTTAACAAGGTTCTCCATTGTTTCAGGGTTATCATCCGCTCCAAGAAATGTTCACAGAAGGCTCATTCTCAGACAGTGGTATCTCTGACGAGGGTTCCGAGCATGAGATCGGTGAACGACAGGGAAGATTGGCTGCCATACGAAGATTGGTGCGTCAGCTGGAGGTAGGTCTGTCTCCTGACTCGAAGGCCAGACAGATGATGAGGGACAAGCTCCTCACGGCTGAAGAGGAACTGAAGACGTTGCAGATCAAATGCAGATCACTTATCGCCAAGACGGCTGCGTGTTCTATTGCGTCCTCGGAGAGGCAGAGGTATGTTTGCCTTTTACTTTTTGTTAGTTAAATAAGAAAAAGTGAAATGCTGTAGCTACTAGATTTAACCGATAACTTTGTTAGAGCCTGGGAAGAACAGATGATCAGAAGACTTCTCTAAGGCATTCGATACCATAAATCGTCTTCTAATAGTCATGTGGAAATATTTTGGTTTTTCTGATTCTTTCTCCAATATGATTCAGAGCTTTTTAGGAAATCGATATCGAAGAGTACACATTGACATGGTTTTGTCTCCAAAGTGCCTCATTTCTTCTGGATTGGCCCAAGGGTCCGTACTTAGGCTACTGCTATTCATTTTGTATATTTATGATTTGCATGCAGCTATTAAATATTGCATTAGCCAATTCTTATCCGACGATTCACAGATCGACAGTCTTCCATAATCACAACATTCAAAGTGGTGAATTTAAGGTAAAATCTAGTTTGTATGCAAATAATCGACACCTTTAGTCAAAAGGAACTTTAACATGGTGAGACTATAGAAGCAAGAGAGTCAGTCAAAAACTTGGCCGTAACTTAAGATGAATGTCTAAATTTTATACATTTTACGTCAATTATATCTTAATAAACAATTTTGTTTACCAAAACTGCTTAGAAGCTGTGCCAAAAGAAATTTTAACATGGTGAGACTACAGAAACAAGTCATTCAGTCAAAAACTTGGCCGTAATGTTAGATGAATGTCTAAATTTTATACATTTTACGTGAATTATATCTTAATAAACATTTTTTTACCAAAACTGCTTAGAAGCTGTGCCAAAAGAAATTTTAACATGGTGAGACTATACTCGTAGAAGCAAGTGAGTCAGTCAAAAACTTGGCCGTAATTTTAGATGAATGTCTGAATTTTATACATTTTACGTTAATTATATCTTAATAAACAATTATTTTTTTACCAAAACTGTTTAGAAGCTGTACCAAAAGAAACTTTAACTTGGTGATACTATAGAAGCAAGAGAGTCAGTCAAAAACTTGGCCATAACTTAAGATGAATGTCTAAATTTTATACATTTTACATCAATTATATCTTGATAAACAATTATTTTTTACTAACACTGTTTAGAAGCTGTGCCGAAAGAAATTTTAACATGGTGAGACTATAGAAACAAGCAGAGTCAGTCAAAAACTTGGCCCTAACTTTAGATGAATGTCTGAATTTTATACATTTTACGTCAATTGTATCTTAATAAACAATTATTTTTTTACCAAAACTGTTTAGAAGCTGTACCAAAAGAAACTTTAACTTGGTGATACAATAGAAGCAAGAGAGTCAGTCAAAAACTTGGCCGTAACTTAAGATGAATGTCTAAATTTTATACATTTTACATCAATTTTATCTTAATAAACAATTATTTTTTACCAACACTGTTTAGAAGCTGTGCCAAAAGAAATTTTAACATGGTGAGACTATAGAAACAAGCAGAATCAGTCAAAAACTTGGCCGTATCTTTAGATGAATGTCCGAATTTTATACATTTTACGTCAATTGTATCTTAATAAACAATTATTTTTTTACCAAAACTGTTTAGAAGCTGTGCCAAAAGAAACTTTAACTTGGTGATACTATAGAAGCAAGATAGTCAGTCAAAAACTTGGCCGTAACTTAAGATGAATGTCTAAATTTTATACATTTTACATCAATTATATCGTAATAAACAATTATTTTTTACCAAAACTGTTTAGAAGCTGTACCAAAATAAACTTTAACTTGGTGAGACTATAGAAGTAAGAGAGTCAGTCAAAAACTTGGCCGTAATTTTAGATGAATGTCTGAATTTTATACATTTTACGTCAATTGTATCTTAATAAACAATTATTTTTTTACCAAAACTGTTTAGAAGCTGTACCAAAAGAAACTTTAACTTGGTGATACTATAGAAGCAAGAGAGTCAGTCAAAACTTGGCCATAACTTAAGATGAATGTCTAAATTTCATACATTTTACATCAATTATTATATCTTAATAAACAATTATTTTTTACCAACACTGTCTTTAGATGAATGTCTGAATTTTATACATTTTACGTCAATTGTATCTTAATAAACAATTATTTTTTTACCAAAACTGTTTAGAAGCTGTACCAAAAGAAACTTTAACTTGGTGATACTATAGAAGCAAGAGAGTCAGTCAAAAACTTGGCCGTAACTTAAGATGAATGTCTAAATTTTATACATTTTACATCAATTATATCTTAATAAACAATTATTTTTTACCAACACTGTTTAGAAGCTGTGCCAAAAGAAATTTTAACATGGTGAGACTATAGAAACAAGCAGAGTCAGTCAAAAACTTGGCCGTAACTTTAGATGAATGTCTGAATTTTATATATTTTACGGCAATTGTATCTTAATAAAAAATTATTTTTTTACCAAAACTGTTTAGAAGCTGTGCCAAAAGGAACTTTAACTTGGTGATACTATAGAAGCAAGATAGTCAGTCAAAAACTTGGCCGTAACTTGAGATGAATGTCTAAATTTTATACATTTTACGTCAATTATATCTTAATGAACAATATTTTTTTAACAACATTGTTTAGAAGCTGTGCCAAAAGAAATTTTAACATGGTGAGACTATAGAAACAAGCAGAGTCAGTCAAAAACTTGGCCCTAACTTTAGATGAATGTCTGAATTTTATACATTTTACGTCAATTGTATCTTAATAAACAATTATTTTTTTACCAAAACTGTTTAGAAGCTGTACCAAAAGAAACTTTAACTTGGTGATACTATAGAAGCAAGAGAGTCAGTCAAAAACTTGGCCGTAACTTAAGATGAATGTCTAAATTTTATACATTTTACATCAATTATATCTTAATAAACAATTATTTTTTACCAACACTGTTTAGAAGCTGTGCCAAAAGCAATTTTAACATGGTGAGACTATAGAAACAAGGAGAGTCAGTCAAAAACTTGGCCGCAACTTTAGATGAATGTCTGAATTTTATACATTTTACGTCAATTGTATCTTAATAAACAATTATTTTTTTACCAAAACTGTTTAGAAGCTGTGCCAAAAGAAACTTTAACTTGGTGATACTATAGAAGCAAGATAGTCAGTCAAAAACTTGGCCGTAACTTAAGATGAAAGTCTAAATTTTATACATTTTACGTCAATTATATCTTAATGAACAATATTTTTTTAACAACATTGTTTAGAAGCTGTGCCAAAAGAAATTTTAACATGGTGAGACTATAGAAACAAGCAGAGTCAGTCAAAAACTTGGCCCTAACTTTAGATGAATGTCTGAATTTTATACATTTTACGTCAATTGTATCTTAATAAACAATTACTTTTTACCAAAACTGTTTAGAAGCTGTACCAAAAGAAACTTTAACTTGGTGATACTATAGAAGCAAGAGAGTCAGTCAAAAACTTGGCCGTAACTTAAGATGAATGTCTAAATTTTATACATTTTACATCAATTATATCTTAATAAACAATTATTTTTTACCAACACTGTTTAGAAGCAGTGCCAAAAGAAATTTTAACATGGTGAGACTATAGAAACAAGCAGAGTCAGTCAAAAACTTGGCCGTAACTTTAGATGAATGTCTGAATTTTATACATTTTACGTCAATTATATCTTAATGAACAATATTTTTTTAACAACATTGTTTAGAAGCTGTGCCAAAAGAAATTTTAACATGGTGAAGCTATAGAAGCAAGTGAACCAGTCAAAAACTTGGCCGTAACTTTAGATGAATGTCTGAATTTTATACATTTTACGTCAATTGTATCTTAATAAACAATTATTTTTTTACCAAAACTGTTTAGAAGCTGTGCCAAAAGAAACTTTAACTTGGTGATACTATAGAAGCAAGATAGTCAGTCAAAAACTTGGCCGTAACTTAAGATGAATGTCTAAATTTTATACATTTTACGTCAATTATATCTTAATGAACAATATTTTTTTAACAACATTGTTTAGAAGCTGTGCCAAAAGAAATTTTAACATGGTGAAGCTATAGAAGCAAGTGAACCAGTCAAAAACTTAGCCGTAACTTTAGATGAATGCCTAAATTTTATACATTTTACGTCAGTTATATCTTAATATACAATTTGTTTACCAAAACTGCTTAGAAGTTGTGCTAAAAGAAATTTTAACATGGTGAGACTATAGAAACAACTTAGTCAGTCAAAAACTTGGCCGTAATTTTAGATGAATGTCTAAATTTTACACATTTTACGTCAGTTCTATCCTAATGAACAATTGCTTGACTACACAGCGTCAGCCTCGCAACACGATTACTCATGGCAGCTTCTTCGAGCGTGTGCTGAGCTCTCAAGGTAATAAATGTTCCCTCGAAAATTATGCGCAATTTTCAGGCAGTTGCGTTGCTGTCTAGTATAGGTATATGTTGTGGCAGGGCAAGGCGAGAAAAATGAATTATGATGAATTTACCGTGTCGCATTTATCATAAAACGGAGACTGTCTAGCTAGCACGATAAGTGAATTGTTGTTTATTTGTTATTATTAATTAAAAGAACCACAGTCGACCGCAGGAGCCAAGGATCCGATTAATCTCTTGGTACGCTCAGCGGTACCGCGGAGAGACTGTGTCTCCTCTTATACCATCAACTTGAACAACTGGGCTTACTACTAATCATTTTTTCAAGTGTTGCTCTGCCTTTGAGAGAAACTGTATATTCCCGCATCTGCTTCGATGTTTTTCTTGAAGCTGGGGTGTATTGAAAGAACTGGCGTCAAGTAGACCGACTCGGTACTACCCACGTCTCTGCGAACTATATTAAATAAAGTACCAAGTATTATGTGCAAATACCATCAAGGTTTTATGAGGGTGTTTTTTCTATTTGAAAAAACGAATTTACCATTGGACACGTCGATCTTTAAGCTACTTTTCTATACAGGGTGATTCACAGGATCGTCTTCTATGTAAGATTGTTTGCTGGAGAGCTATAGGGGCTATAGGGGGAAACAAGGGAAAGGGGGAACGCCACACGGACTCTGGCGAGCGAACA